TACAAAGATGATGATTATAATTGTGAATGACAGATATAAAAGTGAAATAAAAGGTATATAATAAGTAATATTGAATTATTAATACATAATATATCATAATACCGAATTACAGAAAGTAAATAATGCCTGCTTGTTTTTAGAAGTTATCATTAAAGAGATTTATACATTTTTACAATTCTTGAGGCAACTGAAATAAAATTCTTGTTCAACATTTTTAAACATCATTTCTGGAATCAGTTTCTCAAAGCTCTTCATTCTATTTATCAAAAACATAATATTAATATTTAACAATAGTTTTAATATTTTTATAACATACTATTACCATTTTCTCCAGACTACTAAGAGGTTACTAAATTGATAGGGAAAGCCAAAGGAAAAATATTTTTCTTCTCTGTACTAGCTCATAAAATGTATTTACCTAGTTTATTGAATTTTAAATAAAAAATTACAGATTCGATACTATTGTGCCCAAAATATTTATAACATTGAAGCTCAATTTTTTTTCTTTTGATATTTAGTTTAAAATAAGTTTATAAAACTTGTTATTTTAATACACTCAAACCTGTTTTTGCACAATTTTTTTTCGTGCGGTATATGAAAATTTCAATCCAACTGGAACATAGTCATATGATTATGTGACAGCAGTTAAAATCTATGTAGGACTCCAACTTTATCATAAATTAGAATGTCATTTATTTGCAATGAATGCCAATTCTGAAATAACTTCAAAATTTCAAAAGGAGGTTTTTTTTTTTATATATATATCTGGCTACCGAGACATATACAAGCATCTAGTGAAACAACACACATCGCCAAAAACTGATCACCGACTGCATAACTGAAAAAAGTCAACTCTAAACGAGCGCGAGATAGTATCTTCAAATGGAGAAAGTGATTTTGAACCAGTTTACAGAAAGAAAATTTACTGTCAGACTATGAAGGATAATGGTTATATATTTAAAAAAGTTTTGTATGTACATACGTATATAAAATAAGTATGTATGTATACAAAATATTCAAAAATGTTCACACGTGTATTTTCCATATCAGACTCTAAAAATTTTTGGTGAGATTCCAAGTAGCTGCCAAGCCTCATGTCTTGATTTCGTTTAAAAAAGCAGATCCAGTTATTTCTTAAGGTTTTGAGTTATTTTCTATACAAGACTTTTTATGCAATCCATATTCACAGAATAAATAAATAAATAAAATATATATAAAAAATTTTTAATTGTGTTGTGAAAACTATTTTTTATAGCTACTTGCAAAGTTTTTTTTTTTTTTTTTTTTTTTTAACGCGGTCCCATCCACTGCACAAAAACAGGTTTGAGTGTATATTAAAACCTTATCATTATCATGCAGTAAACATGAATGTTAATAATCAATTTGTTAAAAATAAAATATATTCCAAGAGAGTCATTTAATGTGATTTAAAATTTTCACTTATATCTACAATTTAATGGTGGAATTATGTGACTGGCATTCAGCATAGTTCAGGTAGTTTACTTTTTACTTCACAGCAATATATACCTGTTTTAGTAAGAAAACTATTTATTTAATATAGGAAAGTATATTTCATTTGCTTTCATTTACATTTAATGAAAAGTTTAGTTGATATAAAATGAGCAAACCAATATTTTCAGCCCTGTGGTTGTTGTATTTTACCTAAAATTAGCAATTTAAACTTTTCACTTCACTCCATATACAGATTTGCCATCATAATTATCTTTCTTTTTTACTGTTTTTATGCACCATACGTTTAAAAGTCAGAACCTTATTTGTGAAATGTTTATGAAACAAATCTATTTACTCAATATCAAACACTGCTTGGTAAATAATCAGAAATTAATTCATACAGTATTTTTTCCATTTGTAAAGCAGACATTGCTGTTTAAATCAACCTATCATTACATATAATTTTAAACACGAAGTTGTTAATGAAGCTTGAAATGCATACAATATCCTTCACTGCAACTAAAATCTCTGAGATCTATCAGCTATGCAAGTTCAATTACTAAAAATGCCGAAATAAGCCTCTTTATCAGTAAATACTTTATGCCTATAATAACTTTTCTATGATAATAACGCTTGTTTTCTATTTAACCTTTTGGACTTTTCGAGTTCTATACATAACAAGAAACATTTGCCAATTAATCAAGAATTGCACAGATAAATTAAAACATACTTATGGCCACACAGAGAATTCAGTATTTATTAATAGCAATTATATCTCTACATCAATCCTGCATTCAAAAATTTTCATTCCAAAAGTTAGAGACAACATAAACATGTGTTTTTAAGAAAATAAATCATATTTACTAAAATTTATCACTTCTAATCTTCAAATTCACTATCATTTATGCATTTGCTTATTTTTGGTTAATGTGAGCAGGTTGCATTGATAGAGTCCGAGGACCACACATGGACCCATTCCTGCATTAAATACTTGTGTAGCTATTTTTAATTTGCTTTTATTCCCCAATTTTCCGATGGAATTTTATTTTCCAAATAAGTATACAAAAGTATTTTTTTTTCCTGCAACATTCAGTAGCTAATTCTGACCTTCACTTTTAATACTGTAAGTGACCAATCTGACATCAGCTTAACAAAACTATTCTGGCTGTTCATGTCACAAAGTAGGCTCCTGTTGCAATTTTGTGCTTCATTGGGAATGAACAAGTCTATCTTGCACTCGCTGAGTTTGCTTTTTCAGGATATGATGAACAAGACTTTCTTTAAATATTCCCAGTTTTTATTGTGGGCAGTCAAACCAACTTCGCATATTTCAATAACAATGTATTCTTATGTACTATGTTTGGCATAATAAATAAAGTTCAATAGATGATTGCACTTCACTGATTCTTGAAATAAACACTTACTATACAAATATTTTTGAAATTTTTTTGGGTCCATAATACCATTCATGAATGTTTTTGCCAATTTTTTTGGGTTCATAATACCATTCATACATGTTTTTGCCAATTTTCTTGTTTCTTCTAGCAATAATGATAATGATACAATTATTTATTCTGAGAATACTTCAAGACCTGACAAATTGTCTGAAGATTTTTTTCCCTGTTATGATTCCTCAGATGAAGATAGCAAATACCTTTTATCATTGGCGTCAAATACCTTCTCAAGATTAGTTACCTACAGCATAGCAATTCTGGAATGATAATTCGTATTGCAAAAACTATATTACAAAGTTTTGAGTAGAGTATATTGCAAAGAATGTGAAGTTTCAGTATGCACAGTTCTTTGCTTTAAAATAATTTACCATATGCAAAATGAATTTTAAATTGCTATTACAGTAATTTAAGAGGCCAATATATATTTTCTGTAAGCATATAATATTTGTGTAACAGCACCTTTTTAAAGTTAATATTTTCAAGATTTAAAGACTTTAAGCAAAAAAATTGAAGAAAATGAACATACAAATGAAAAATATATAATTTCCCATCATATACAAAAAATATTAATCAAATCTGATATAAAATAATTTAAAGTGATATGATAAGAGGGAGGTGTTATGATTAGAGAAGTGTTGATTTAAAATTTTCAAGACACAGCAAAAATATTTGTACCAAAGAAACTTGTCCTATGATGGAACAATGCATGTATCTGAAATGTCCTTGAACAAGTGGTGAAGCATGTTATTAGCAATCACTTAGAGTTAATAATTTCCCCTTTTACATCAAGGATTAAGGTTTTGTATTTACCTTGGAGTTGCATTTTACAATTTATTATATTGTACTGAACACTTTCAGAAAATTTCTACCAGATAAACTACTGGGAAAGGTTTTCGGTTTGGTTTAATGATGATGGTAAAGCACACTAGGGCTATCTGTCTAAGGGGCAGGATGCCTTTGAGGAGGATTTTCTAAGGGAAACTGGCTTGTATGCACATAACACATGGAGGAAAACATGAAAAATCCCATGTAGCCAGCCCACATGCTTAGAAATGAACCCAGGGCAGAACCACCATTGTTCAGCAATTTTACTGCTCGGCCACTGATGGGCTTACTTGAAAAAGGAATCAAAGACCTCAACTAGTGATAGAAGGGATGTAGCTTCTTTATTATACAGGCTGTAGCAAATAAAAGTGGTCACTCTGTTCTCCGAGCCGCTTTTATTTGCCCCACCCGATATAACATAATGATACAAATTGTGGATTGGATTATAGTAAGTATTACAATTTGTTAAATGAATGCAAGTATGCTTAGATAATTATAGTCAAAAAAAAAAAAAAAAAAAAAAAAAAAAAAAAAAGATAATTATGTTTTAAATGATTAAAAAAATGTTTTTAGAATCACCAGAAGTTTTTTTTTTAATTGAACTATATTACAAAAAATTATTAGCATTTCTTTGTAACTGACCTTTTCAGCACTTCAGGTTTTATTCATATTAATATGATTTCAGTGTATTTTTACTTCTTAACCTCGATTAAATTAGAAAAACATAGTAAATTTACAAATTTAGTGTCTTAAATTTTAACATCTGTAAAAAATATAATAATAACAATAAAAATCATAAAAAAATTCTTGTTATATTATTTTAAATAATAAAAAGATTATTTCAAACGCTTTTTCCTCTGAAAATTCTTCATTACCTGAATAAATTAGTTCTCAAGTAATTTTTTTAAAAAATAGATCTTTGATCTTACTTGCATATTATGTAGGAGAATCTTTTATTGAAACATATAAATAAATAGAAGATTTTTATGACATAATTTAAAAAACAGTATTAATGCTTTTTTCTAATATTTACAACAGATTTTAAAGTCAGTAAAAATAACATTTATTAATGCAGCAGAAAGAGAAGAGCAATTTTTGTAGAAATTAGATTTCTGTTTCCCTAGAATTAATATTTAAAAAGTACAAAAGATAATTTAAACTAAAAATGAGTATTATAGTGCTTGGATAAACAAAACTTAAAAGTAAGCTTTTCAAATAAACTAAAATTTCAAAATTTAAACTTATATAGAAATTCATTATCACCACTACTTTAAACAGAAAAATTTTTATTGCTGAATTCTATATTTTACACATGCAGCATAGGTTCTAACTACAAAATTCCTATTTCAATTAGTATGAATAAACTCAATCTGAGAATGAGTTCATTATAAAATTTGTTCAATTCAATAAAACATATATAAATATTGAGTATATATGCATACAATTAATAAAATTATGAAGGATAACTCTTATATAAGACAGTAGAGTATATGTACATTTAATACAAAGTAATAATTACATATTTGACATCACAAAAATTAGCCTCGGGATGAAAGATATGTTAAAAATATCAGTAAAAATTATCTATGTATTATGACTAAACATAATTCAGCGGGACCTCCAACTCTCTGGCCATAATTTCATCACAAAACCTTGAAATAGACGATACATCTTCTTTGGCAAAACACAAACTTGGAAATGTGTAACAAGTTGACCCCAGTGTTTTAAATAATCTGTAAATAAAACGTTAAGGTTTCCATACAACCATATTGTCAATAGCAGTGACTGAACCTTTTTTTTTTTTATATGTGATATACACATCATTAGCTGATGGAACTTTGATAATTAGTTTATGGTATGTTCAGTTTCAGCAGAAAATAATTTTGATTAGTTAAAACTAAAAAATTAATTTTGCTTAGGACCTACATCTTTTCTAACTCTAGCAAAGTGCATGGATTTTTAATTAAAATATGATTAGAGTGTTAATCACTGTTGCATGGTTATGTAACCAAATAAACCAATTATACAAAATAGATAACAAAATAAATACTAGATATGTTTACACTTTCTGAGGAATTGTGTAAGATGTGTTACATTATTGTATGCAAACTGGGAGTATGAAATCAAGATGATTATGTCATAACATATGCTATATTACATAGTTTATTGTTAATATCAAACAGATGATAAAAAATAAAAGTGATCTAAATTACTATTAAAACTCTGCAAGAAATAAAACTTGAATACAATTATACAAATTGTGCATACAGTGTAGCAACAGATTTTATAAAATTAAAACCATAACCATATTAACTAATGCAATATATAAAATAAAGCAGAAGTAATATAATAAAAAGGAAATGTACATATTATAATGAAAGGAATGATAAGAAGATTAAAAAAAAATAAGTAGTAATAATAATAATAATTAAAAAACTCTCACAAACTTTTATATATATTAAGCTAAAAACAGTAGATTGTGGTTTAGTGTGGTAACTTTAGTGAGAAAGAGTGGTATAATATGAATAAAATTTCACAATGCGGATATAAATTTATTTAAGGGAATAACATCTGAGAATGCTTCACGGACATAAAAACTAGACAGCTCATTAAAATATACTCTAATTATAAGAGAATGCTGCAAGTAGTATCTATATCGATTCACTCTCTCCAAGCAACAAATATTGACAGATAAACCTAGAATTACCTACCTATATCCCAGCCAAAAGACCTTCCCTTTGATAGTTTATTAAATTAAAATCCCATTATTCAAGTTTGTTTTAATTTGTTTATCCTATGGTTCAGTGGCTGTCTGTGGATTATTTTACTACAGTTCACAAAACCATTTCGAAAATTAAATATGCAAATATGACGTAATTTACAAATTAAAATACATTAATGTTTTCACAAGTTAAAGAAAACAATGCAACTAAAATAAAACAAGTTCTCATAGGTTAAAAAAATGTAATATTTTATTTCTTACGATGGAATGTCATAAAACTATAATATTGCTTACAATATACCTATAAACACTTATTACAAAATAGTCAAGTACAAGTTCTGTAAATTAAATTCACTTGTCTGTCTTTTCTTAATGCAAATAAATCAATAGGTTTTCATTGAATTTAGGTAAGTCATTTATGATGCTTTTTTCAATTCAGAGCATGGCTAGAGCACCTAGTCTGTCTTCGCTTATAGTGATTCTTAAAAATGTCTTAACACGTTTTAGAGTTGAGAAGCATCTCTCTGCTTCATCAGTGGTCACTGAAATAGTAACAATAATTAGCAAACGTTTGTAAGTCTTCAAAAACGCTGGTAAGTTGTTTTCTATGATAATTGTAAAAGACTAATGGCATCAATCACCTTTCAGAAATTTGGCTTTCTGTAACATGGAATAAACACCAGTTGTTTTGGTCACAATATGAGTTAGAAACTTTTTTCTCGTACTTTGGAATTTTGGAGCTTCAAAGAGAGAAAATAGCTGAGTACAGTTCTATTTATTTGAATGTTTTCTCTCTTACATTTTCTTGAAGTTTCACGATTCTGATATCTCCTTTGTCATTGTACCCATTATCTTCTTTTCCTTTTCTAATGACTGTTGGAAAACTTTTGCTTACTTTCTAATGAGAGCTACACCTGTTAGTATGTTCTGAAGCAACATGTCGCATAATATTGTAAAACACTGCAAGCAAAAACATAAACTCATATTCTTTTAACATACGGCGAATAACCCCTGCTTGATTTATTACTACAGGTTGTTTATATGCTGAGTATTTTTTCCATGCATTCAATTAAGCATTCCCTACATTCGTACACTGAATTAATGGTTCGACTCTTAAAATTCCATCTAGTAGCTGGATACGGCATCCTTTCTTTCTTACAGCTTCATCTGGAATAGCAGTTCTCTGTGAGAGTCATTGAGAAAGTTAGTAATATCCCTGTGGGGAAAAATACGATCTTTTGGATTCTGACTGGCTGTTTGTCCAACAATCAAATTGAGCTGATGCATGTAGCAATGCACAAATTGTATATTCTTGTAGGTACGCTAAGTGAGTTAAAAAAAAAAAAAATTCAAGCATAATGCATTACCATTCATTACGCTTGCACCATCGTAGCTTTGCAATATTAATTTCTTAGGCTTTCCCACTACTTTTTCCAAACTTGCTTGGATACGTTCAGCTATAGAATTTCCATCATACCTGGATTCATGAATCCCAGAATCTTTCAACAGTTGTCCATTATTTAAAATGTCTTAGAAAACAACAACCAATTGGGAAGTGGGTGAAGCATCAGTAGTTTCATCTGCTATTACTGAAATAAAACTTGTTCTTGATCGCATTTTTTTGTGTGGTTCTTAAAAACAGTGAGCACACAGTTTAATAAATAATTATGAATTTATTTTGACATTTCTTTAAAAATATTGGCACTAGTGAGATAACCCTAAGAGACGAAATTCAAATCATCAGACGAGAATCAAATTCTGCTGAGAAGATTATAAGACCACTGAAAACTCCCAGATTTAATGAATTCTCAGATTCATCATGCCCTCGAAGTGCAAGCTCATATGCATTGCAAAACAAAACACAATCAATATATTTTTTAGAACACAATGACTTTTATAGCCTCCTTATTGTGTCTTTTAACATTTGAACTAAATGCACTGTTGTTGGCAAATATGTGCCTTTCAAATCAAATTAAATTCTAACATGAAGTTTAAATGTGATTGTGAGTATTCACACGTTTTTATGAGTTAGATGTGATAAATCAGCAACATCATAATTTACTCAAATACTAAATCCCCATTCTGTTTTACAAACAGGAGATATGGAAAACAAGAGTTTGTTAGTTGATTCACATTTACTAATCCTCAAACAATTCTCACATAAATCTGGTTTGAATTTTCTTTTTAAATCTCTAGATTTATATTCTTATATTTATCTTATATTTCTTATCACAAGCTGTTGGCATGAATAGTTTCATTTCAATATTTCTTTCCAAAGAAAATGCTGAAAAAATGTAATTGATTTAGTTCCAACACACTAATTTTACTAAATGCCATTTTAACTGTTTGCACTAGTTTGCAAAAAATATGTATAAAAAAAAAAAAATGATAAAAAAGGGGGGGAGGGAAAAGAGAATTAACTAACAATTGTATGCGTAACAAACCAAGGGAGAACTCGGACAAGATAACTGCAAAAAATGCAAATTTGCGCATACTGAAGAAGTGCGAATGGAGGCAACCTCAGCGGTGCCTTTTTTCTCCCACTCCTCTGTCCACAGAAATTGGTTTTCAAGGGCATTTCTTCGATCACACGTGCAATCAAGGAAAAACCCAAACCTACTACATTGTAAGTTAGCTATGTTTTAACGTAATTAAAAAGGGGGGAGGACTCGTATTGAAAATGGGCAAAAGTCTGGAAGTGTATTAAATATTATTTTAATTAATTTGTTAATAAATTTATTTTTTCCTTTTTCTTTGGGAGTTCACATGCTCATGTGCACAAAAAGAGAAGCCGCCACTACTATGGTTATCACCATTTATTAAATGTTTTCAGCCTGATGACCTATTGAATATTTACAGAGAAACTGACAACAGATGATCAGAGGTACACTTATTATCCATCTAAACAAGCATCTTATTAAACTTGATTGTTTCAATAGTCAGAGGATTATTAGAACTGGAAAATGCTTTAATGTCTTAAAAATATCCAGTTAATTGGTGAAAATGGTGTATTTTTTTCAGTATTACCTGGAGTTAAAAGACTTGGCATCGTAGATGGTGACTGTTGTGTTAGAAAAATAGAAGTAAAATTCAGTCTGAAATCTTTCACAATATTTCTGCATACAAAGACAGCAAAAAGTCAACTGTTTGCCTCGGAGGTAACTGTGTCATTTGGAACATGGCTACCATATTTGCAGCTATGCTTTTTAAATAGCTGCTGATATACAAATGCAAGTATATTACTTTTGGCTGAATTTATGGGAAAAGAGTTTAAGAGTAAGAAATTGTGCACACATCTTGGCAGGGATTTCAGACCTCTTTAACCTCCAAGCAAAAGTCATATCTTTTCAAAAAGTAAATGTACACATAAATAAAAATAAATATATATATATATATATATATATATATATATAATGGATGTGCTTAATAAAATATCTGATATTATTCATTGAGCAAAAGAGATCAAATGTGATGTTAAGGTTCTGAAATGGTAAAGTGCATTGAAGCGAGCATTGCTGGGAAGCGCGTAATAGAGTAAAAGATTTTGCCTACGATTAAGAAACACTAGATTCTGATTACCATAGCAGATTTTCCATTACCTACGGTGCACTACGGGGAGGAATACTACTCTACACCCCTCCAAAAAGCTCTTCCTGATTATATGATGATTACATGAGTACAAATGGGAAAAAGGTAAGTTGACTATATGATATTTACACTTCCATCTATTTTTTTTACATGGTAGCACTTCTCAAAGTAAGTGACAACACCTTTGAAAAAGCAAAACCCAACATTTCATGTATCCGATTCACAATTTGAAGGCAATTTGTTTAGCACCTTCATTGCTTCAGAAATGGTAAGCAATCTCCAATCCATTTGCAAAATCATTAAAAATCAGAAAAAATAAACTAATATTATATCTGCAATTTAGAAAATATAAACTACAAAATAAAATTAAATAAACATCTACAACTCAAAACTATCAAAATGTAGAGCTAATGAAACTTCTTTCAATGGAAAAGAAAGAAAGAAAAAAAAAATCTGCTCTAGTAAACAATCAAAGAGATAAGTGATAAAATTCCCCCTTCAGAAAAACACCCTAACAATTTCTTAGTTGGTAACCAACCCTCCTCTCCCCCCCCCCCAAAAAAAAGTGCAAAAGAGAAACAGGAAATTTAAACACAAATGCGGACTCACTTTTCTATTGTGAATGAGCTTATTGATGAAAATACTGCAGTGAAACCACAGATATAGTTATTAGTCTGGTTCTGATTCCACTCTGGGCTCCCCAGATTTTCGTCGTTTGATTTTGGGAAAGATTTGAAGTTAAAAATTTAAAACTAATATAGAATAAAGAGATTAGCATACAGCCAAGAAAATAACATAGAAATTTCTTTTCAAACAATTCCTGTTATATCCTAAACTAAATGAGGGTCTTTATCCCTCATATCCCCCCCCCATTAATAAATTTTTTTGAGAAATGAGGGTCTTTAAAAACTAAACATGGCTAAAATGTATGGACTGGTTTCTATTATGTTGCCATCTAGTATAAATAATGAAGGTTCAAAGTAACCTATAAAGCCTTTTATATTCAACTTTTATGTGTGTATAGAGGGAATTTTTTGGATGTGCCGGAAAGGGTTAACCGAAATAAAATTTGCTCTCAAAATGTAGCAGCTAACCTGCAGCTCGACAAAGAAACCTGGCAGATAAACACATGGCTTTTCCAAATGCATGAAAACTCGATTATTTATCAATCAAACTGCCGACACAAAGGTAGCATTTATCACAATCATTTATTACAAACTGCTAACAAAAGCACATACAGTTGAGTGTTCCTGTTTTGTTTAACAAAGGCCAAAGACAGTGCATTTAAGACAAAGACATACCTTTCTATGCATTGCAAATACATAGGTAATGACACCACCATACAATTTAACAATAAGAATAATTTAATTCCATAAAACAAAATACTGTACATTCAAAGCAGTAAATAATACTTTTCATTCATTAGCAAAGGGAACAAAAAAATGAAACATAAATCTCTGCAATCACATAAATGTAAATAAATACTATGAGGTAACAAAAAGGATATAAAACTGTCCAGGGAGGATGGCCACCATTGATGTAAAGAACATAGGAGTAACCATCTTTGGCAACTCCATGCACTGAATAATACAAAGGTAAATAGGAATGAAGGGAAAAATTGCGCCGCTCATAAAACTGAATGGCTGTCGTATTTGATGTTAGGACATGTAAGTAGACAGCTTTGCAACTGTTTCCATCAGGATTTTTTGTCAAGTGGTCAACTAAACTATTTAACAGAAGAGTAGCTGGAGAGGAAAAAATTAATATAAATATATAGACAAATAACTGATAAAAATGATACAGTTTTTAAACAAAAGTTTAACTCTTAAATAACAAAAGACTAACAGTTTTGCTGCAACATCCAAATTGATTGCTAGTTTTATGGAAGCCTTGAGTACAGTTGACCATAACTCCAGTCTGCCACAGTGAAATATACAAGAGTTTTTCACCAAATCTCTGAGATCTCTGAGTACACTTTTCCAAGTTACAGTACAATAATTAATGTAGTAGGATAAGAGTTTTCTATGATGATATGCATAATATACTATAGTACAAATGTACTTATATATTGTAAATGGTTTATGAGTAGGAGAAAACTATTCCAAAAATAAAGTCTCAGCTCCCAGTTAACATAAATTCTTTTAACACAAACTTTTGATTTTTCATTACCTTAGGTTTCATGTTAATGAGGGTTTACTATAATTAATATTTCAATAATCATATATTAAATTATGTAAGAAATTCTTTACTATGTATTTTGATGTAAACTTTGATACAGGTATATGAATCAAAATATTTTATATTATCTTTTGGGTACAGTAATTTTTAAAAGTTATTCAGCTTGAAATAAAATTAATTATTTTTGTAAAAGTTAAGAACTTTAGAAAATTACAGCATACATTGATCAGAAAATTCTTAGTACAAGATAATCTAATTTTTGATACATTATGATTTGAAAACTTTATTAATAATCAAAATATTTATAACATTAAGGCTGCATTTACTTTTGGTAAACGTTTTGAAAATATTTTAATTTCATAATAATATACATATTCAAAAAATATTTGTAATCCTGGAAAAGTTTTATTATTATTATTATTTTTGGTAAAGTCACAACTTTTACATGTTACTGATACTAAAATAGATTCTATGCCATTCATTTCTTGTAATTTAACCAACTTGATATGATAGCTCAGATTTATTACAAAGTCAAATAAGATTAATCTGGACCAACTGCCACTGAAAATGAAAGTGATTAAGATGCACCTCCATTATTTTCCCTCACCCTTGAACACAATCCCCCAAAAACAAACTACCATGTAGAGCTGATAACGCTTGTACCATTGCTAGATATATTTTCCCTTCTTCTAATACCTAATAAATATGTTTTTTTTTTGTGATAATAATAATAACTGTGTTTCTTACATACAGCAAGGTGGATTAGCCATTAACAAGGCAAGACAATTTCATTCTGTTTTATTTATCTGCTTGTCGCCAAAAACTTGCATTTAGTTAGTAAACAAATGAACCGCGTGAACCTTCAACAATTAAGGCTTTTCCTCACTTTTTTTAAATACATCTAAACCAACTGCTTCGTGATTAAACTCATTTTTAATTAATAAAAACATTAAATTAAAAAAAAATTAAATCTTTATTTAAAATTTATGTTTGTCACATAAATAAAGTGTATGTCTGTTTCTTCTGTCTAAATTATTAATTATTATAACAGCAACAGAAAGGAAATTAAATTATTGACATATATTATCAAATATTCAGTTGACATGCATTAACCTTAATTCAGTGACATTATGAAAGTACAAATGCTAGTTTTAAAACCAACTGCTTCATGATTAAACCCATTTTGTTTTAGGTTGGGGGGATTTAAAATTATAACTTTATTCAAAATTTATGTTTGTCATATAAATAAAGTGTATAATCCTCTTCTGTCTAAATTATTAATTACTATAACAGCAACATAAAGGAAATTAATTTATAGGCATATATTATGAAATATTCAGTTGACATACACTATCCTAATTCAGTGACATTATGAAACTACAAATGCTAATTTTCAAAAATGGTTTTATATCTTTAAGCAGCCAATGCTTGCGGAAGACAGACATAATTTTTTGTCTCTTTGAAATTAACGTTTTTTAGTCAAGACACACAAACCTGTATCACTCTGCAATCACTGCTTCTGGGTTAGAGACTTAACTAATGGATCACTGCAATCGGTTCCGTAAAGTAAGGTTTTATAGAGAAAGTAAATTTATATTTTGCCATAGTGCTTGATCAATATCATAAATTGGAAATATTTAATCTAATTTAATTCCAGAACTTCAGAATCAGTTTTGTTTAGATTTTCCAACAGCAGATGTATTATAAAACATACATTACTAAATACTAATAATGGCAAATGGCCAAAACAGGACCGATATGACTGCTGAAAATATCTTTTAAAGATATTATTTCAGTTAATTAAATATTTCTAATGAATATTGTACCCTCCACAGTGATAACATTCTGATAACTGTGCTCCTTGTGGAAAGAAAAAACAAAATCTGATAATGATGTCAAAGTGGAAAAACTTTGTATCATTTTATTTCCAAAAATGTGATGGCAACAAAACTGAGAAAACATGTTACTATCTTTCATGAATTTATAAAAAATTTGATCATATCATATTTTCACTTCCTCATGATTTTATGTTAGTAATTACAATTGTTATATCCAAATCCAAACCATACCTATGCCATTTCTTCTGAATTCTTCAACAACACCCAGAGTAAGAATATAAGCTACTTTAGTATTTTTGGCAAAATGTGAAGAAAGCAGACCTTGGTCCTGCAAAAAGAAGGCAGACATAAAATCTTAATATTAATTATTCATTGCAAGAATATAATTAAACTTGGTCAGGTTAAGAAAATAAACAAATTATAATTAATAACACACACAGAAAATTTTTAAATTGGAAAATACAGACACTTCCCAAAGAATTATTTTCCCTTAAAATATTAGTTATAATAAAAAACATACTGTCACAAACTTGATTTAGAATCAAAGAAAATTTATTTTTGAAACATCTCAAACAAGAATCATAGTACAAATTTTATGAATGAGGTATATTTATTAAATTATTGATGTTATTATATAATTATTTAATTAAGGATAAATAATATTTAAAAAAATTGAATAAAATTTCTCCCCCTCTAATACTGTATCAACATGTCTTTGTATCTAATAAGCACATTTTGTTTTAAGTGAATCGATAAACATCTGGTTCTAAAACCATATGGGCAAAGCATCCCTTTAATGAAAATATTTAATGGAATACTTTGTAACACTCCTACATCTGTCATGGCACTGCAATATGCATTTTGGAAACCTCTGTGATCAGTTATTATGTAACTTACGATGTTCAATCATCTTATTTAGCATATTATTTCATAACAACATATACCTCTTTGTTACATTTTGATTGGGATTTAATTTCTGCAACAACTAGTCCAATAATTTGCACTCTGTACACAGCAGCAAGGGAAAAAAACTTGTTGCTGGAGGTAATGTCCTTGTACCAGCTGTCAGGATACCTTAAATAAAGAAAGAGACATTAAGTAATTTGAATACAGTAGGATAATTGCAGTAATAAAAATATACTCACCACACAGAAATTAAAAATAATGTATCATATTTACTTGCATATCCCCCCTTTCCCTACTAAAGTTATTGCTTGAAAACCAGGGGTAGATAATTATGCAGGGTGTACTTTTTCTGAAGAGACGGCTTTGATAAACATAGCACATTAAAAAGCACACATAAGAACACACTAATATTAATATATTTTGCATTTCAAAGGACTTACTAATTTCAATAATAATCTTTTTGCTTACACAAAATACTTTCCTATTTAAACCTATGTTTTACATAACCATAACTTTCTAAAATATATGCAGAAAAAAACTAGGGGAAAAGTATGCGAGGGAAGAAATATGCGACTATAGTTTTTATACAAATTTCTTGTCCATTTGAAAGCAATAAGATTTATAAGATATTTTTTAAGTACGAAAGTTGATTTTAATTACATTACTACTTATATATAAGCAATGATGAAAATATCTGATGTCTAATTAGTACTTACTTTTATACAGCAGTTAACATATGTAACACGCTAACATATATATGTAAAATATATAAAATACATGGGTTAATAAGTACAGAATTTTACAATAACAGTTTCCTTACTGTTGGTGGAAGAGTTACACAAAAATGAAATTCAATTTTTTATTCCGTTTCCATACAGCAAAAATTTAAATCTGTAAAATTTTTGTTATTTTAAATTTATTTAAAATTAAAAAATTCCACACTTTTAAGTGCAAAATTTGTGAAGACATGCTTTAGTAAATTTACTTACAAATATCTCTGTAAATTCTGAAAACTCTTAGGCTAGCAAATTTTTCATTCACTGGAATTTTTTACAGATATGAATCAAAGAATACTACTTAAGCATATAAAGTCTATGACCACCTTTTTTAAACACCCAATAAAATATCTATTAAAGGCATCAGTAAAATTAATCACATTAAAACTTTTAGCTTATGCGTACAGCAAAAGAAATAGATGAATGTATCTAATTTTTGATAATGTCACTACTAGTCTACATAAATATCTGAAAAATAAGGATTACTGGTCAAAACATTTTTAAATACAGAAAACATTTTTTTGGGTGAAACTTTGAACAGTTAATTATAAATATAAAAAAATGATAATTATTGGATATAAATGAGATTAAGTGATGACCAGATAGTTTGGAATTGCAGAATTTTGCATTATGTGGCTAACTAGAGAGAAACATAATTGTCAGGCTCCTACATGTGTTAGTAATTATTCTTATTTTCATATTGTAACTTTGTCATTGATTTATTGAATACAAATTCATAAAATGCACCAATTAAATGCTGATTAAACTAACTTTTCAAAACTAATGTGTAATGTTAAAAAGTAAACTGATTTTATATGCAAAATTTACAGAGTTTAATATTTAGTTTTCTTCCCCCTTCTTTAAAGTAGGCGAAGATATAACATTAGTTAAATCATAATTTCTTTCTTCACAACAGCCTAAAAGAACTTGTAGTTCTTTTAGGCTGTTGTGAAGCCTAGTTGAAATACTTTCTAGGAGCCTAAACTGAGCTCCTAACAAAATTATATACAAAATTCGTCATAAATGATTTTTTTTTTCATTTTAATAGAAAAGGATGTTGTATTTAATAGGAAATACAAATAAGTTCATATAAAAAGATAATAGCATCTCATTAATTGTTTTGGATTTTATTGATTTATTAGCTACACTTTATGTCAGCACTACGTCCAAGCTCAAATTCTCTATTTCCAATTAGAGTCATTCTTTATGTGCTCTAAATAATCAAAAAATTCACTCTACAATGATACAAACAAAAACGTGCCAAAGCTCCCATGCCTTTGCAGTGTAATTAGAAGCACATCTGGTTAGCAATTGGAAGAGGAAATATGAAAAACAGGCAATGTTTTCAGGAGTTCAAAACCCACTGAAAACATTGCCTGTTTTTCATGTTTCCTCTTCCAAAACAGATCTATTCAATCTACATATTGATTAAAACACAATTAAAAAAATATTTACTAGTTAAACATTTGGCTGAATCTTCATATAAAGTTCTATAAATGACTAGATAGATTAAGACAATTCAGATTAAATAAAACTGAATAAGAAAAATTATGCTGAAGACCACTAGGAATTGAGGAATAAATTTTGCACAATTTACGCTTCATTAATTCAATAATGAAACTTAAAATGTGCAAATTTTAATTTTATTGCTGAAAAACACTTTTCATTCGTAAAGGCTAAAAATGAAAAGCTGGGAGATATATTGATAAAGCAAAAGAGTTGGCAGTTATACTAATCCTATCTAATATTTTCTGATAAGATATATATAATATACTTAAACAACTTTGCTTTACCAACTGAAAGTTTCAAAAGCTGTTATATGCTATCCTTTCGCAATCTCTTGTATTATGAATAAAATATTGTGTAAAATCCTAGTATACGGTGCAGCCTTGGCGCGATTTTGAAAATTATCGCCAACACCAAAAATGATCCAAAGAACGTCTATATACTATACACTATATACTATGTGTGTATATACATAATATATACTATATATAACTATTGTGGAGAACTCTTTATTATTATTATTTGTCCGCTGCCCCGAGAGAGGGCGCTACCAGCTTTCTCCCTCTTCCTCTCTGGAGGAAAATTCGAACTGGTTACTCGGTTCCTGGCTGCCATCGGTAAAGCACGCACTCACCTCTCTTTCCCTCCGTGATGTTATCGTAGCTGTAATATGACTTTCTTGATTTTTACTCATGCAGACTTGCGAACTGAAAAATGCTCATCTTGTAACTACATGCAATGTGATTGTGTATAAGTGAATATATGTTAAAATATATATCATCCTATAATTAAATATAAATGTTAATATTACCGAGTCAGATTTTGTTAACATTCAATGTGCAATCAAAAGTGGCATCCATCAACAACAGCCATAAATGGTGACTCGTCAAGTTAGTGAACACGTGCCTCCTGTAACCTGCTTGCATCCTCAAGTTCTGTGATTATAATGTGCTATGAAGTGAAAATTATTTCTGTTCATGCAAACTACTACCGTACTCCATCATTATTTTCGTGTCATCAGCAATATAGTGTGAAAAACAGTTGGGCCTGCTTAACAATGTGCTTGTGAATTATCATGTGTCTCATGCAAATCGTCAAAGAGCTTTGAAGTGATCTCCATATAAATCGTACAACGTGGCTACATATCATAAAATAAGTTTTTTTCGGAATATTTTTTCTATAAGTGAATTGTGTTGTGCCGAATCTGCTGCTGACTGAGCAAATATTTCTCGCATTATTCGGAGGTAAGCCACGCAAATTCTTAGTAGTATTACTTATGCTTATATTCGGATAGCTTACCTGCAAAAGTGTTTCTCTCACGTTAATGTTTACATTAACTTTATTTATTTTGCACTAGTGTCGTATGTGAACTTATTAGTGACTGATTATTGTGTATTTATTTGTGTCACATTGGCAATATATATTTGTTTTTGTGAATCATGGCTCCACCACAACCCATTGCAGACGATCTTAATATTTCACGTGTTTCCGTCAAACCTCCCCCATTTAGGAAGGTCAACCCTACTTTGTGGTTTGCACAACTAGAGGCCCAGTCTGATATCGCCAGAATCACTGTTGACTCCCCGAAATTCAATCATGTGATATCTGCAATCGAATCTGATATTCTCAATAGCGTTTGTGATATCATTTTACACCCACCTGTGACTGGCAAATATGATACACTAAAAACACGCTTAATTGAATTGCATTCTGAAAGTGAGAAGTCAAAGATACATACACTTCTTCAAGGGCTAGAACTTGGCGATCAACACCCATCACAATTACTTTGCCGTATGCAAAACCTTGCTGGAGAGACCGTTAGAGAACCTTTGTTGAAATCCCTATGGATATCTCGTCTCCCGCAAAATACACAAAGTATTCTTGCTGCCTTAAGTGATGATCTTCCATAACTAGCAGTTGTAGCTGATAAAATTACAGATCTCACAACTCTCCCGCACATAAATAGTGCTGCTACGGCATCTACCTCTCCCATTGAACAGCAAGTTGTCAGAGCTGACAAAGCAGGTAAATGAACTTTCGCTAGCCCTCAAAAACAGCCGTGAGCATTCCTGTGAACGAAGAGACTATTCCCAACGTAGCAGCAGGCGTCATAGATCTAGTGGACATTTTCGACAGTATAAAGAACCGTGCAACAACATCTGTTTCTACCATACTAATTTTGGTTCCAAGGCACGAAAATGTGTTTCTCCGTGCAATTTCCGGCAGTCGGAAAACTAGATCGGCGATTGCTTGCCGGCCAATGTTGCGACCACCACATCAATCGAATTCTTTTGGCCGACTCATCCTCAAAGCTGATTTTTTTTTAATTGACACCGGAGCCGATTTATCTGTCATTCTTAAGAGTTACAGTCAGCATGCCAAAATACCAGCTGCATTGGAACTCTTTGCCACTAACAGCACTAAAATTGAAACGTATGGCACCAAACTTTTGACCATCAATTTAAACTTACGTCGCTCATTTACTTGGCCTTTTATCCTGGCAGACGTCAATCAACCCATCATAGGTGTTGACTTTCTCACAAAGTTCAACTTACTCATAGACGTTAAAAACAACCGTTTAATTGATGGACAAACAAAACTATATTCTTGCGGTAGACTTCCTAATGTGAACCCGCTCAGTACTAGCATTCATATTTTGATGGGTAACTCAAAATTTGACAAAATTCTTGCCGATTACCCTAGCTTGACGAATCCTTTGCAAACTTTTGAGAGGCCACCAATGTCAACGATTTTCCATCACATTGAAACTAAAGGACCTCCTATTTTCTCCAAACCTAGAAGATTATCTCCAGAATTACTTCAAGCTGCACGTCAAGAGTTTGATTTTCTCCTATCAAAAGGCATCATTCAGCCTTCAAAAAGTCC